ACTTGACAGAACTCTGGCGTCGGTTGGTGGTCCGACGGAGGTGAGGGCCTCAAGTGGTGGTCTGACGGAGCTCAGGGCCTCAAGTAGGGGTCCGACGAAGGTGAAGGCCTCAAGAGGTGGTCCGGCAAATGTGAGAGCCTCAAGTGGTGGTCCGGCGGAACTCAGGGCTTCAAGTGGTGGTTAGATAGAGGTGAGGGCCTTAAGAGGTGATCCGGCGAGGGTGAGGACATCAAGTGGTGGTCCGCGGAGGTGACGACATCAAGTGGTGGTCCGCGGAGGTGAGGGCCTCAAGTGGTGGTTCGGCGAGGGTGAGGGCCTCAAGTGGTGGTTCGGCGAGGGTGAGGGCCTCAAGTGGTGGTCTGGCGAGGGTTAGAGCCCCAAGTAGTTGTCCGGCGGAGGTAAGGGCCTCAAGTGGTGGTCCAGCGAGGGTGAAGGCATCAAGTGGTGGTCCGGTGGAGCAAGGACGTCAGGCGGTGGTCCAGCGGAACTCAGTTGGTGCATGGTCGACGAGGAGCGAGGAGGCAAGAGCGATCTCCAATCTCTCTCTTGCTCTCTTGCTTGGAGCCTCTTTCTTCCCCCCTTTCAGTTCCCTTTTTATGAGAAATGAAGGATCTATTTTTAGTTTTCTGAGAGTGGCATAGCCAATAAATAGGAGGAAGATCAGAGGTATTTTAGGAGTGATTTGAATGGATGGACGATGTTGAATACTTTGATCACGGACCATTTATTAAACATTTGAATGCCTTAATTAATGATATCAGAATTTTATGAGCTTGGGCTCGTTGGATTCGTCTCGTCGAGCCGCTCGATTCTATTATAAGCATGTCATGTTTGGAAACCGTTTTATAATCCAAATTATGGTTTGAACCTTCCAAATGCGCTTCGAGTCTTTGATTTGAATCCATTTGGGCTTGTATTGAGTTGAATTTGGTGTCGTTGGGTTCGTATTTCCGACACAACCAGCTCGACTGTAAGTTTACTGAAATCGTAGTAACTTGATTTTGCTTCGAGATTCGTGCCTGATCAAGATAATGTTTTGATGATATATTAAGAGTATTAATTTTTATTGATTAAAAAAATATTGTTTAAAATAAAAAATAATTTGGTGATTATTTATCTCATATCATATTTCAGTGGTCGTGTGATTATAACATAAAAGTTCACAAATAATTGAGGATTAAAAATAAAATAATTTGGTGATCATTTGTCTCATATCATATATTGGGGCATGATGAGTCTATTTTTGGGTTGTTGCCTTTGCCCTCTCTATTTTTCAATTGCTTATTATAATTTTTGGGGATCTTGAGTCTTTTTGGGCTCATGCATTTTCTCCTCTAGTCTTTTCCTCTCTTCAATTGAGTTGTTTTTTTTAGTTGTAATTATTTCCATATACTGTATGAAGCTCGACTATGTGGGTAAAGCAACATGCATGATTTACAAACCACTTGTTGTATAACTCCCAAGCGGATCTTCTTAGCTACCACAAGAGCTTCCAATACTTATTCACATAAAAGATAGCAAACCTCTATCAAAGAAGATTAATATAACTTTTCAAAGCCTATAAGTTGGAGATTCAATATCACCCTAATAAGGTCCAAGTAATTGTCGATGCCTCAATAGGAAGCTAATGATTGTCTTTCTCTACTGACTCAGCACAATAACTATTATGTTGGTATGGTAAGAAAGATTAGCTAATGCTTAAAGAGTTGATGACTTTTGACAGATAAGATAGAGAGCCTTAGAATTCAAATTGTATGGATGATAAATATAGTAGATAAGACTTCCATTTCAGGGAGAAAGGACTACTTACATTTTATGTAATGCTTGATGCCATGAGTGTTGATTGCATTGAGAAAGAACATCATAAGCATTGTGTGCTAGAAAATTTACAAAAAGAGAGATAATTTAATGTCATAACTTTGCACAAATATCTTGCATACATATATACAGGGGCGGAACCAGTCATATTTACACAAACTTATAAGCAACTATTGGCAGATATGTCAGGGGGCCAAGGGGCTAGCGCCCCCGGAACAAATTTTGTTTTACTATTTCTCTTTGTATTTGGTTCATTGTTTCCTAACAATAACACATATACACAATGTGTTTAATTATATGAGAGGCAATTGCCTAAAAATCCTTATAATAAAGATTAAAAAATAGATTAAGGGGGACAAATTACCTAAAGAATTGCATAATAAGGGGGGGGGGTCTAAGTGGTTCCGTCCCTGGGCGTGGGGCAATTGCCCCCCTTGGGTTCAAAGGGGTTCCGCCCCTACATACAGATATAAAAGAGAAGAATATAAAAAAAATATTAGAATTTATTCATAAAAATTTTGAGAATAAAAAAATTACGAGGTCTAACTCAAATGAAATGATCCATTATTTAAATAAGATTGCAAAGATCTGTTATTCTACTCTGTTGGAGAGGATGTGAATATAAAGAAATGAACTTAGGCTTGGCCTGTTATAGTTGTAGTAGGACTTACTAGAGAAGTAGTTGATAGATGATGATCATGATTATATAATATTAATTTGGAGATGACAATTAATCAGATAATGATAATAGATGATGATCGGATGATGATAGTTCAACAGTAATAGATCACGGACAATGATAATCAAGTGATGTCATTCAAATAACAACAAATGAGCATCAAGAGTAATATAATAGTGATTAGCAATCATCGGTATTGAAAGAAAAAATCCTATTTTTTTTGTGTGGAATAAAATTTTAAACTGAAATCTCACATAAATTTGGTGTTAGGAGGGAATTTGAAAGAAACTAGATGTTCCAAACTTCATCTTAGATTACATTATGTATTCATTTCACATAATAGGTACATCCTAATCAAGTAAAAAACACCAAATCCTCCATCCAGTGAACTGAAGATCGTTGGATTTTCTACAATTACTCATGATAGCCTTTTCTAATACATCCTAATTTGGACCCCAGCAGCTCAAGTACATGACTTTTCTGAAGGTCTCATCTGCTCTCTTAGCTTCCTCTGCTCTGGTGTTTACTAGTTCGCTTCCAGCTATCATGGAAGAAGAAGAAGAAGGCGTTCTTCTTGCCTGTGAAAAAGAACCCATCTCGTTTTTTGCCTTTTGATGCAGGGACCTCATAATATACTTCCATCTGCAAAGGCCGCCTTGATCATTCAGCGTTTCCACCGTGCTAATGCTCGCTGCTACAATCCAAGAAGTTTTGTTTGCTGAGGCCATGGCTAGTTCTCTCTTCGAATGGTTAAGAAGGAAATTAGGTGCAAGAAGAAAAGGAATATGCTTCGTTCATTGCTTGTTTCGTTTTTTTGGATGATGGGAGAAGAAGAGAGAGTGTGGGCTAGATTTATAAAAGCCTGAAATTTTGGAAGGAAAAGGTAGCAGAAAACAGTAAGTGGCATAAAATTGCTGCTGGTTTTGAGAGTTGGGGGCAAGGGACTGAAACCGGTGGCATGCGGTGGGTTCCACAACCTTATCTTTATCCTCATGCTATATAGCTTATTTGTTGTATAATATATTTAATTGATCCGATTTCACTTGCCACTAATTTTTGTCCCGTTGGTCTGATTGAAGTCCTGTGGGACCAAATTTATTTCTGACAACTGTTAAACTGAGTCGTGTTCAGTCAAAGTATTGCAAACCACGATGAAATAGTAAAATAAAGTAGCAAATTTAATAGTTTTTGTTTAATGGCTAGATGGTAGATGGTGCGGAAGGCCTGCCGCGCACAGAAGAGCGGGGTTAGAACCCCACCAAAGGCATTTTGTGCGGGTGTGCCCTATTCGGGTGGCTGGGCTGTCAGCGCAAGCCATGCGGGCGGCTGGGTTGGAGGCGGAGTGGAAATGGGAGCATCATGGCTGATCGGTCGGGTTCAATTGATATGAATTTTTTTAATTTTTTTCACTTTTCTTAACCTTCCAGCTCAAAAAAAAAAAAAAAAAAAAATCAGACGGAAATATATTTTGTGCCAGGACTTTTGCGATGCATGTTTTACCGACGAAAACATTTCCGCCGAAAATGCTAATTTCCAAACGATTTTGATCAATTTTTCGGTGGAAATGACCTCCGAAAATGACGTTTTTCCTGTAGTATCCAGCAAAACTCTAGGCGTCAGGTGGTGATCCGGTAGAACTCCGGGCATCAGGTGGTGGTCCAATGGAGCTCAGGGCCTCAAGTGGTGGTCCGGCGGAACTCAGGGCCTCAAGTGGTGGTCCAGCGAAACTCATGGCCTCAAGTGATGGTCCGACGGAACTCAGGGCCTCAAGTGGTGGTCCGAAGAAACTCAGGTGGTGGTCGAGGAGGAGCGAGGAGGCAAGAGTGATCTTTTATCTCTCTCTTGCTCTCTTGCTTCAAGCCCCCCTTTTAAGAGGGAGGAGGGTCTATTTATAGATTTTCTAGAGTAGCATGACCCGTAAATAGGTGGGAGATCAAGGGCATACGGGGAGTGGCTTGGATGGATGGCCGATGTTGAATCTCTTGATCGTACACCGCTCGTTAGACATTTGAAGTTTTTAATGATGTTGGAATTCTGTGATTTTGGGCTCGTTGGATTTGTCTCGTCGAGCCGTTGGATTTGACTATAAGCACGTCATGTTTGGAAACTGTTTGGTAATCCAAATTGAGGTTCGAACCCCCTAATAGTGCTTCTGACCCTTGATTTGGACCAATTTGGACTCAGATTGAGTCGAATTTGGTGTCGTTGGGTTCATATTTCCGAGACGTTCAGTTCGACTATAAGTTTTGCTGAAATCGGAGTTTGGATGGTCCTAATTTTGATTTTGGAAGTTTTGAACTTGATTTTGCCTCGAGATTTGTGCCCGATCAAGATAATTTTTGGAGTACGTATCAAGTATCAAGAAGACTATAAGTTAAGTAAAACAAATAAAATTAATTAAAAAAAAAAGACTATAAGTTCAGAGCTGCAACTTAGTTATTAAGATCAACCCAAAATGTTTCTCTATGTCAGAGGAAGTCCCGTATTTCATTTTTTTTTATATAACAGAAAATTACACCCATAATGAAAAAAAAAATCCAACTTGTGAAGACCGTTGGATTCATAGATACAAATATACAATCTAATTCGGACCCCAGCAGCTCAAGTACATGACTTTTCTTAAGGACTCCTCTGCTCTCTTAGCTTGCTCTCCACTGGTGTTTACTACTCCGACCATCATCATCGTCGAAGAAGGCGTTATTCTTGCCAGTGAAAAAGAACCAATCTCTTTTCTTGCCTTTTGATGCAGAGACCTCATAGTATAGTTCCATCTGCAAAGGCCACCTTGATCCTTCAGCGTTTCCACCGCGCTGATGCTCGCTGCTACAATCCAAGAAGCTCTGCTTGCTGAAGCCATGGCTAGTTGTCTGTGGAAGGTTTGAGGGAAGAGCAGTAGAAGAAGAAGACAGTTGCTTTTCTTTTGCTTGGTTGGTTTGTGAGAAGAAGAGAAGATTAGGAATCCATTTATAGAAGCCTGAGATTTGGGAAGCAGAAGGAACAGAAAACAATTAATGGGGGCGTAGGATGGTTTTCAGAGTTGGCGACTGGTTCCATATTTCCACGGGTTATGACCAGCCGGCAGCTGTAGGGTCCACTTAGAACTCCACAAATCCTTAGCTTTACCCTCGCTTGGAGTATACATTGTCCGAAGTGATCGTGTCATTCTGACTCACCAAACATAGCTTTGACAGAGCACATCTCATTCGATTGAGTTGTTCGCCTCTTTGAGTTGTTCATCTCTTATCGCAAAGGACAATAAATAAAATTTGTGCATATATTATAGTTTATTGGTTGTCACTTTTGATTATCAACTAAAAGATTTTGTATTTGTGTGTTACATTTATGTATGAATTTATTTTAATTGACTTAAATATTCTCCAAAAAATATTTACAATTAAATTAAAAAAAATCTTAATTTTGGCTTATTTCGAAGATAGAATTTTATTGTTTTTCACAATTTTTATTGTATTCTTGATTATCTTTTTCTTAATTTTTACAACCTAAAAAGACTTAATTAGAAACTATTAGAAATGATTTTTTTATTAGATTTAAATGAGATTTGATTCTTAATAGAACACAATAGAGAAAAAAAGATTCATGTTGCCGACCCCACTAAGTATGATAAATATTTTATATTGGCGATGTTATTGAGAGTTTTAATTTTTTATTGATTAAAAAAAAGATTGTTTAAAATAAAAAAAATAATTTGGTGATTATTTATCTCATATCATATTTCAATGGCCGGTTGATTATAAGTTTATAACATAAAAGTCCACAAATAAGTGAGGGTTAAAAATAAAATTAAATAATTTGGTGATCATTTGTCTCATAGCATATATTGGAGCATGATGTATCTATTTTTGACTTGTCGCCTTTACCCTCTATGCTTTTCAATTGCTTATTCTAGTTTTTGGAGATCTTGAATCTTTTTGGGCTCATGCCTTCTCTCCTCTAGCCTTTTCCCTTCATAAATTGAGTTTTTTTTTTTTTTTTTTTTTTTTTTTTTTTTTTTTTTTTTTTTTTTAAACTTTAATAATGCAAATAATAAATTATAATTAGAAAACCTTAAAGCCCTACTAAACATTATCTTGAGTCAGGGGCGGATCTACTATATGCGAGGGGGGCTTATAACCCCCCCCCCCCCCCCCCCCCCCCCTAAAAAAGAAAATCTTTTATGCATTGGGTATAGTAACATGCATGATTTACAACACACCCAAGTGGATCTTCTTAGCAACCAAAAGAGCCTCAAATACTTATTCACATAAAAGATACCAAATCTCCATCAAAGAAGATATCGAATATAACTATTCAAAGCCTATAAGTTGGAGATTCAATATCATCCTAATAATGTCCAAGTAATTGTCGATGTCTCAATAGGTAGATAGATAGAGAACCGTAGAACTCAAATTGTATGGATGATAAATAAAGCATATATGACTTGCATTTCAGGGAGCAAGGACTATCTTGCATACATACAGATAAAAGAGAAGAATATAAACAATATTAGAGTTTCTAGATGAAAATTTTGAGAATAAAAAATTACGGGGTCTAGCTTAAATGAAATGATCCATTATCTAAATAGGATTGCAAAGATTCTCTATTCTACGTAGTTGGAGAGTAAGTGAATTTAAAGAAATGAACTTAGGCTTGGCCTGTTATAGTTGTAGTAGGACTTACTAGAGAAGTAGTTTATAGATTATGACCATGATTATATGATGTTAATTGGGTGATGATGGTATAAGGTAACATATACTTGAGAATTTGTATTGATATAAGTAGCTCTTGCATAAGGTGATCGATGGCAAAGAAGTTAGCAGATGAAATATTTTTTGGGTGTAGACTGACGGGCTATTAGGACTACTTGATATTTTTTTCTTGTATTTTAATTTTGATGATTTCATTTGTTTATTGGCGCCAACTTAAGTATGTACCAAAAACTTTGATTGGATTTAAATTAATGAAATTTATGAATATAAAAATGGATTATTTGTTATGTGTGGAATTTGATAGTGTTGATCAATTGAGTTATTCTTGTGGACCTCCGAAAGGACACCGCTAGCTATAGAGTGCAGAGGATATTCGACTGCTCCACACCGAGGGATATAGATGATCGCAGGCCTCCGTGCTCCTCGCAAACGAGTCAATGGAAGGACAGATTAGATCGTATATACGATTAACCATTAAGGATAGCGGATCTCGCCAACGCACCCCAATGAGTATTAATATATACGACCTAATCAAAATAACAAGTTTCCCCCACCCAATACATCAGTTCGAGTGGGGTTTATTTATTATGGAATTCCATTTTTCACGGGCGTAAGCCCCCATGGTTAATTATATCTCAAACATAGGGCTTAAGAAAATTCTCAATTAAGAATTTGATATTATTCTTCCCAAAAAGGGGATTGGTACACAAAGGGAAGATTAGGAAATCCTACTCAAAAGAAAAGAAAGAGCTTAACTCCGCTTAGTCAACATGAACGGTCTATTTCAGCATTCGAAGGGACTAAGGCAATAAGGAGATAAAGCAAATCAATCAGTCAAAGCATTCAGAGAGAAGGGATAGAGGTGTCATCATCCATGTGACATGGATATGCATGATTTATAGTCCTTGAAGAAAAGGAACTTATCCATCTTTTAGGCTTACTACGAGACACCCAGTGTAGTAGTCTTGAACCCTAAATATAGGATGAGATTAATGTTATACTAGACACTAATACTTGTGTCCTAACTAATATAATTTGGGCTTATATCCCGTCTGAAAAGGAAAGCCAGCTAACCACCTAAGCATTTAAATCTATATTATATAGTCTTTTTGAAAGATAGGTAGGCAGGCTGTGTTTTGGAAGTAAGATCGATGTCTATAGAGTTTCCTAATTGATCATGGACTTATGTATGGTGAACGCTCCTAGAGCTAATGTAATTAAATTTTAATTAATTGATTTCTAATGCAATGAATGCTATTTAAAGGTCCGAGTCATGTATGCTTAAGATTTAAAAAAAGGCTTATATAGAAATAATTTTTAGAAAAGACTAAGCCTCCCCAGGTTCGGTAATTCATCCTCATAAGCAAGATTATCGAGCTAGACTCGTTAACGGGTTCGACTTGTTAACGAGCTCAACGAGTCAAACTCGAACATGAGTTCTAGCTCATGTGTGTCGCAATGCTGCAAGTTAGTCTGGACGGTTTTCTTTCTCATTTTTTGAAGGGTTGCATCCCTTGGGGTTGTTTACTTGGACTTCTCTTGTATTTCTGAATGTTAGAATAGAGAGTGATGCATGCGAGAAGAGAAGCAATGAGAGAGAGGGAGAAGAGAGATTTGTACTTATTTCTCATCATTTTCATAGTAGATTTCTTGGTGTTATGTGACTCCATAATTTTTTCTTGTTAAATCCTAATGTCCTAAATTTTTACTGTTTTACTTTCTTGCTTGTTTCATCATTGTGGTGTTCGCTCCCAAAATTATTTTCTTTATTGTTTCTTACTTTCATTCTTTGTATCATTTGTGAGGAAAATAAAGATGATGGATAGGGAAAAATCTTAAAGTCAAGGGTTTGATAACTCATTAAGTCATGAATCATGAATATGAAAACTTAAACACCTCCATCGCACCACGCTCTTGATATGAAGACTTGACCTGCACTCAGATCTACTAAATGATTTGAACCATCAAGTTTTTGGAGTCATGACATTGGGCACTTTTTTTTATGTGCAACTAAACCCACATAAATGAAGTTAGCCTACAAATTTATCGTCATTAGCAGCTATGAGCTTATCAGATAAGCCCATGCATCTTGCTAACATCGACGTTGAAAAGTTGTCAATCCCCTTATTAATGCAAAATAATAAGATATTATCTCCATTTTACATCATCTCTAACTTATACAAGTACTGTTCTCTCCACCCTATCTTGGAACGTCAATCCATTATCATCGTTGCATTTATGAGCAGATCCAAGATTTAACATATTAGAATATTCAAGTTGAGACATTATCAGTGGCGACCAAAAGCAAACCATTGCAAATAAGGATCTTTTCTGTTTGAAAATTTGTAATTTTTTATAAGGATGGTTGTGAAACTATCATGAAAAAAATATTTCAGCCATTTTAATTATAAAACTACCCTTTTATTATAGAACTTTTTGAAAAATAGTAAAAAAAAAAAATTGAGAAGTATTCTATGATACTTGGAATATATTTTTATGAGAACTGTAAATAGCCATACATTTAATGAAACTATCTTTGAAGACAAATGAGCAAATTTTATCGTTGTTTAATTTATGGTGCAATCCGCTTGTTGTATATAAACTACGGAGTTACCTTTGAGGGCATCTCCAACTGAAAAACTCATTTTTCATTTCAGAATGCAGTAATACATCAAAATGCAGTAACTTGTCTCCAATCGAACTCCATTTTCTAACGGTAAAAAATGAATATTCATAGTATATTCTTAAGTTATATATAGAATCCTAATGTTCATGCATTTGTCCAAGCTGAACATGCACAAATTTTAGAAAAGATGTTCGGACAACAACAACCTCCTTCTTCAAACTCATGTGGACAATATCTCAATGATCTTGAAGGAGTCGATACCAATCTTCCAGATTATTAGATTTTTATTACTTGTTATTTTAATTTTTTGTTATTCGGACTTATTCTGTATTTTATTTTTTTTAGGTATTGTACTTATCAATATCTTTTATATGTATGAGAATTTTATCCTAATTTCTATCATAATGCTGTATCTTAAATTAATTAATTATGTAAAAAAATATTTTAATTTCTAAAAAATAAGATATTTCTTAATTATTAATGAAAAATTTCTGAACTTAAATATTTAAAATTAATAATAAATTTTCAAATTAAAAAAAGCTTGTGAACAGTATGATGCTAATATTTTATTCACCCACAATCAAATAGTGAAAAAATACCGATCGGATGGAGTAGACGAACGAAT